GCAATACATATTTAACACTATAGGCTATGCATGTTTTTAAATATAAACTTAATCTAAACAAACGTGGATATTAAAATAAATATATAATAATAAATTCGTTACACTACAAACAGCTATTTTGGCTCTATGCTGTTATCTATAATTACATTTGGTGGAGTCAAAATAAGGATTTGTAGTTTGAGTAAATAATGTCTACAGTATTTGCAGGTTTTTAAATTCACATTTTTTTATTTATCTTGTACTATTAGTCACATTTATCAAAGGCAAGTATTGGCAGGTAAAATTTAAACAAAATTTATTAACTCTTTTGATATTTTTTACTTACTTTATCGAAGAGGTTCGTGTTTTTCTACCCACTCACTTTTATCAAACGTTGTTCGATAATTTTTAAGAATAAATTATGAACTATCCCTTAAACGTTAAATGAATTTCTCGTTTCACATGATTTACACGTACGCGTGTACAAAGAAGTGACAGTATTCGTGTGCATTATAAATTTTATGATACTTATTTTGTACTGAGATAATTAGTACATGGAATGTAATGTCTGCATATTACTTTTCTTTTGTTATTGCTTTATCATTTAGTTTTCACCAATTAACAAAACGTTTTTCGTGCAATTTGAAAGAGCGAAATTGCTTTTTTCGTAATATGTTTAAAACTTTGATTCGAGAAGCATTTTACAGAGAAGTAAGAACTTTCATGGTACAGCGCAGCTATGGAGTTTTAATAAAAGTTTTATGAATTCCGACTGAATACCTTATAATTCATGAGCGTTTCTTGGAAAGAATAAAGGGTTTTAAGTACTTTTGGATATATGTTAACGAGCGGACGAACAACCAATGGTTTATTATTGCGTAGTAAAAATATTTCTTGGCGGGAGTTTATACAAGAAGCTAGCTGTGAGGGTAGCTATGGTATCGGATAACTAATGCAGAAAGGAAATAATTAACAAAAAGCTTTAGCGTCTTTTCAAGCTTTAACCAATCCAATGTTTCTGGACATGTTTTTACGTTATTTCAATAAATATATCAGAATTTACGTCACGCGAAATATCACTTAAGCAGAACAAGAAAGCGTTTGATTAATAACATTGTACTTAACTTTCGACGGATCGATATTTAAGAATTGTGTTGAAATCGAAGAATATTTAGATATCGTGTTCAGGAGAACGTCCTCTAGAGGAAAATAGTTATATTAAATGAAAAACTGAACTGCCTCAAATACAACACTACTATTAGCTACAAGAGTTTGAAATATGACTTAATATGCCATCTAGTAGTTAAGTAATTATAAAGTTTTACACATAGTATTAAATTATGATAACAAGCTGATTTATTACTATTTATCATAAAAGTAAATTTACAAAAAAGTGTACGGCTTAATGTTGCTTTGACTTTGAGTTAGACTACAGCGAGTTGAGCTGTGCGTCATAGGCTTCAAGTTCAATGTGAAGAGTGGGAGTTATGTAAATTGTAATGAGAAGCTGTATTTGTGTAATATTTTATGTGTTGCATTATTCCGTATCAATTTTGTGAAAACAAAAATATTTTATACACCAAAGGCGACCGTGGTAAATGCCCCCCAGGAGAATACAGATGTAGCGATGGGATGTGTATCAACCTTGAATGGAAATGTGATGGTGAAAATGATTGTGATGATGGTTCGGATGAAATAAATTGTCGTAAGTACACTTTGTTTTACGACAATTTCTTATATTCCGTGAAACATTTTTGTATTTTCTCCACAAACAATCTTTCTTTGAGTACCCACTTTGCATAAATCTTGATCATTTAAGATGTTTATATTGTTTTTCTCATATGTTTTATTAATAGCTTTAGATACTGCTGTAGACATGTTAAATGGTTATATTTGGACTTCAATTTTTTTTAAATCTCCTTAGGTGACATGTTGTAAGTTAGGTATAAACAGAAATGCATCCCACGAGATATTTTAAGAAAAAATATGATTATAATGGAAAGTTTATTAGCAGTAAACATTACTTAAAAGAAGAGTAATTAATGAGGTTATTTTAGGAAGGATTAGTAAGCTCTCATCAATATATGTACTGTACTTGAAGCATATTAATTAAGGTAAAATCAGTTCATTTAATTGCATTTTGAGACATTTCCCTCATATTAGTAGATATGCTAATATTACTTGTTTTAAAATTTTCAATACCATTACCTAATAGTTGTTAACAAATTAAAAAAACACACTTAATATTTACCATTTTTTTGTAGCATTAAACTTCTAAGTTGTTAACACCAATATTTTCTAACATAACATGATAGATTTTTGTTCATGTAAAGTTCCATTTATGGTAATTGTTGTTGGTAATTCAAGTAATAAAATTTTATTTTGTGAAAATTGTTGATGCTCAGAGAGAACTTTGACTTCTTGTGCTGCCTTTATTATCACTTGATGTCTTTTCATTATTAATGCAAGTGTGTTAAAAGATCTAATAGGCCTAATATTTGTGATTAAATAAATCATGTTAGACAGCAGATATTTTTCCACATTCTTCATAATTGGACAATTAAAGTCAGAGGTGCATGTTTAAAATTCATAAAGGACAAAATAAAAGGGATCTGGAAAAAAGCTGTAGTCTAAAATGGCTTATTACAACCATTTGGCCTATTGGTTTATCTCACTTTGACAAATTTTGACTTTTAAAACCATAACTTAGAAGTTTTTAGAAACTTTTTGTTCTTATTAATTTTACAAATCTTGTAGTTTGTTTATGATTAAAAAGTATAGGTACATTACCATTTTATGTTTTACAGCTGCAGTAAAATGTAACGAAACACAGTTTCGATGTACATCAGGTCGTTGTATTCCAAAGTCTTCTATTTGTGATGGTAGGAATGACTGTCCTGATAACAGTGATGAAAAGGATTGTGTTTGTAAGAGTTGTTCTTTGTTATTTTGTATTCAATTTTGATTGGCTAGTGTATTTCATTAAAATATAAAGTGCTTCTTTGATTTGGTTATTTAAGTGATATACAAGAAACTTGTATTAATGTGTAAAAATGAAATCACAAGCAATTTTGCAGTCATATGATTCCCCTAGTTTTTTACAGTTTTAAACAACTAAATATTCTTCTAAGTCCATCAACCAGAAATTTATCTGTAATTTTCTTTATCATTACAAAGACAAGCTAAAACCTAATTCTAGTCTCTTCTATTAGTTTGAGCAGAATTTTTATGTTGTTTTTGAGAAATTAAAGTATTTTATTAGTTCTCTTAAATTCATTATCTATAAACTGCATTCAGCGTTATTTTATGAAGGATGAGTTTTACTTTCATAAGTTTCTAAGTCCCATTGACTTGTCATAATTTCATCATGATAATAATTAAGGTATATTTATATAATTAGATGATTAATATGAATGTACTTGGTGTAATGAAAATCCTGTGGTATGTAATATCACTTGGGAACAAATTAATTCTATAACAATTGTCTTTTTGACAGACTGAATAATGTTGATTAATAATCCATGTATACAATGTTTCTCAGTTATGAAAACAATGTACATTTAAGAAAAATTAACAATGTTTTATCTAAGGATGTATAAATTTGTATAGACTTTTTGGGTAAAATGGGTCAGTTTGATTTAAACACAATTATTTGATTGATATTTTTTTGTAAATTTGTAGCAGTTGAAGAGTCCTGTGGTTTAGGACAGTTTCAGTGCTTGGATGGAACATGCATTGGACAACAGTTTGTGTGTAATAGTGAAGTTGACTGTCCGGATGGCTCTGATGAGTCTACTAATGGAACTTGTAGTAAGGAAATCAATGTTTTATAGAAAATATTAAAAAATTTACACATGTTATTAGATCATTGGAGCATAAAAATAGATGTAGCTGAAAATATCACAAACAGTAATTTTGTTTTTAAATCATCCACAGCTAGTGGTACTCCATGTAAAGAAGATGGATTTCCATGCCAGCACTTATGTGTATCAACTCCAACTGGACATCGATGTGCATGCAAGGATGGCTATGAACTTGGTTTGGATGGTCGGTCATGCCTTGGTATGTTGTTGTTTTGTTTTTACATTGTTTCTGCTTGAAACTATTCTAAATGCTAGGTAAGGTGTACTATTCAAATTAATATTAACTTTTCATTTCTGATAAGACTATAGAACTTGAATAAATGGAGAGGGGGGAGAATACAAAAAATTTTAATTAACATAAAGAAAAAGAACCTTAATAACATGTATCATGTAACATGGGGAAAAAATATACTTTGTAAGGGCTGTTTGAAGAGTTTCAATATTAAACACACCCTGTAAGTGCTGTTTGAAGAGTTTCAATGATAAACACGTTCTATAAGGGTGTTTGAAGAGTTTCAATATTAAACACGCTCTGTAAGAGCTGTTTGAAGAGTTTTGATATTAAAAAGCATATCAAACTGCTCCAAATTGTTCATATTGTTTGGTATCATACACGATCAATACATAGGACATACAGCTGTGTTAGAAGTACTTTGTATGTAGTTTGTAAGTTTAAATTTATGTATGTATGTACCTAGTCTGTTTCCATACAACCTTAGTTTATCCTCACTTATTAACTTTATAAGTAGTCTTCCCCCTCCTTTCAAAAAACATCATTTAGACTTTATACATGCTTAAGCAAGTTAGTTTTAGCAATGTTATCAAGTATCTGTTATTTTCTATATGGAGAGTTATGTTAATTAGCCTTATATCTGTGTTGTCTGTTTGTTGTTCATTATATTTACAGTTTGTAGCATATTATAGTTAAAATCTAACAAAAAGTTATTGTAGGCCTCATGGATTATATAAAATTATCCCATTTTCTATTACTGAACACTTTGTGTAAAGCTAGTTAAGATTTTTTTTTTGTTTGTTTCATTAATTATGTGTAGTTTTTATATTACTTGTTTTTAATTTTTCAATACCATTACCTGAAAGTTGTTAACAAATTAAAAAAAACACACTAAATATTTAGATTTTTTTTTGTAACATTAAACTTGTAAGTTGTTAACACAAATATTTTCGAACATAACATGATAGACTTTTGTTCATGTAAAGTTCCATTTATGGTAATTGTTGTCAGTAATTCAAGTAATGAAATTTTATTTTGTGAAAATTGTTGATGCTCAAAGAGAACTTTGACTTCTTGTCCTGCCTTTATTATCACTAGATGTATTTTCATTGTTAATGCAAGTGTGTTGAAAGATCTAATGGGCTTAATATTTGTGATCAAACAAATCATGTTAGACAGCAGATATTTTTCCCATATTATTCATAATTTGACAATCAATCAAGCATTACAACATAAACACGCTCTGTAAAGGCTGTTTGAAGAGTTTCAATATTAAAAAGCATATCAAACTGCTCCACATTGTTCATATTGTTTTGTATCGTACACAAAGAAAGTTAAGGATGATGATAATAATGTATTATTATATTTTTAATTGATAATGCCACATTTTGGATATACCATCAGATTAAAATGTGTACATACTCAGTAAACCTTCAAATAATTTACCTTCGTAATAGGTCTGTGATAGTGGGGAATGTATCTATAGAGAATGTGGACTACATGTTGAGTCTAAATAAGCCATTATGTTTTACAGATAACTTAAAACATTAGTGTATGTATGAATCATTTAGCAGACTTGCCTGACTCGCTATTGGTGTGCACATGAACCTGAAAGAATCACAAGATTATAGTGTAGTAGTGAAAAGACTGTAAAGGACAGTTGTATGATATACATGATTCTTTTTTTATCAAAATGTATTATTATGATTTTAGTTGGTAATGCCACATTTTATATATACCATCAGATTAAAACGTTTACAAACTCAGTAAACCTCCAAATAATTTGCCTTCATAATAGGTCTGTTTTATTCATGCAGTTTAATGTGATGCAAAACTTTTTTCTTAAGTTTTAAAACAATTTAGAAAGATAACACAGATATAAATGCAGCCATTGACTTGAGTTTAATTTTTCTATCACCCAGATATAGATGAATGTAAGTGGGATGGTTCTTGTAGTCAGGAATGCCAGAATACAGTTCCTGGTTATCAGTGTTTCTGTAAAGAAGGTTATACTCTTCTTCAGAACAACCGTGGATGTAAAGCATCAGGTGAATTGACTGTTTAGGCAGTTCTTGAGGTATTGTTTGGATAAGTAAGGACAAGCTGACTGAATGAATTGTGTTAGTGGGACAGTGCATTAGCATTCTAACATCTGTTTGAGCCTATTTTTTTTAATATCTTAACTTTAAGAAAAGAGTATGGTTATAAACCCATTGAAATCCATTTCACTCTAGGATCTGATACATTTATATTTAAACTTTCATTTTTTACATTTAAGTTTTCTACTTGGTTGTTTTACACTTTTTTAGAAACACAATTAGTAAACAAACTGAAACAAGTTTATTCCTTAATGATGTGGTTTTGTGAGGGTTAAAATTAACAATGATATTGACCCTTAAGAAAGTCGGGAATTATCATACTTTGAGCCAATTTAATGCAAAAAATTACCATAAAGTGAATGTGTGCAAATAAAGGAAAATATATTTAAATTGCAAGTTTAACTTTAGGCTGTTATGTTTTGTAGCCAAAACTTATAATGACATGCCAAAAAAATGTTATTGAGAATGGTTTGTTTTTAAAATGTGTATCTGACTTCTATTTAATAGGATTAATTTTTGAAACAAGTTGTATTCCTTTACAGGTCTGGACCCATTCATTTTGTTTGCTAATCGGGTAGATATTCGACGAACTACAATGGATGGGTCCCTGTACACGTCCGTTTTGAGCAACCTTGAAAATGCTATTGCTGTGAATTACCACTATGAAAAAAGGAAAATGTTTTGGACTGACATCAAAGCTGATGTCATTCGCTCTGCTTCTTTTAATGGTACTAAAGTACATGATGTGATTTTTGTTGGACTCTCAAGTCCAGGTGGACTAGCTGTGGATTGGATAGGGAATAAAATATTCTGGACTGATGTTGGACCATCCAGGATTGAAGTGGCTAACCTGGATGGTTCCATGCGGCGAGTTTTATTCTGGAAAAAATTGGAAAAACCTAGGGCCATAATTGTTAATCCAGATGAGAGGTAAGGTTGATGTTGTTGCTAAACATTGTTTAGTATAAGGAAATAAATTACTGTTACTGATGATATAAGAACATGAATAATTTGTAAGGAAAATTACTTCTGTTACTAATATTAGAATGCAACTTAAATGTGTAATTTCATTGAAATGTTTTGTTAGCTTTATCCAGCAAAATGTTAACAAGCTAGTGTAAGGTAAACAGGTAAAGATGACTAAAAGTTACAAATGATTATGTGTGGTGCAAATTAGTTGATATAGGATATAAGCCACACATGCAATGGAGAAATACATATTTTTACCTGGCTGTGTGACAATCCAAGTGAGAATAGTATTTTTGAAAGACATTTAAACAGGCTATTAAAGTAAACTTTATAAAAGTTAAAAAAACTGTTGAATTAACCAACCCACTTCTTGAGTGTATCATCTTGCAGGCTGCCAAGATAATTTGAATTAGCTGTAAAAATTATTAAATCTGACTAATAACACAGGACTGCAATGGTTTTAGTCTTAATTTTTACATGTTCTACAGTAATTCCTGTTCTCTGTATCCGAAAATATCTAATTTTGTCCATCACGTACAGATTTTTCACAAAGCATCATAACACACTATATATAAAAGAAAGATCACAACACACAGTTTTGAGACTAAAAGACATAGATTCTACAAAAAAAATTGGGATGAATGAGGATGCATATTCATTTGACATCAATGTTCTTTCCTTTTCTTTAACTTCTTTGTATTTTTGTTGGCAAACATAATAATAAAAAATGTTCATTGTGGTAAACAAAATGATAATTTGATCTAAATAAGAGTTTGTTTGTTTTTCTTTCTGATTTGTAAAAAAAAATTCTTACGTGACAGAAATTTTTTTTTTTTTAAATCTGCTTATTTAAATTATAGAAAATTCATTCTTAAAACCAAAACAACTTTTATGAAGTTTAAATTCTCAGGCCCGTGTAATTTAGACTTCTCAATACACTTTTCATTTTCTACTTCAACATTTTTCTGTTCAGTTTCTATAGTTTTTTAAATTAAACATATTTTATTTCAGCTACCTACAAATGGTTGAGTACAATATATGAAAACGATTTTGAATAAGCAAATCATGTGACAACCAAATCTGATATAAAGTTGCAATTAAACAGCATGTATTAGAACAACATTTTGACATTGTTTGGCCTTTTGTAGGTAGTATGATAGGACTGTACATAACAGCCCTTTCCAATGTAAAAATACACTCAGATCATAAAATGTGTTCAAATTGGGAATTTATAATTTCCAGAATTGGGATATTTCTTTTACTTAATGACTTTGGAAAACAAAGAATATGAATCAACAGGTGAGAATCTATTAACACAAAGGTTATCATTGTGTTCCAGATATCAGTATGCAACAAAATCAAGAAGGATCTCTATCTGACAATGAAACACAAGTCACCTCTACACAGTTTGCTTCCATGACATATCTGTTAACTGCTACATACCTCAGTTAGTTGTAAAATGAAATGGGTATTCAAACTATTCTATATAAAGACATATCAGCCAAGATGCCAGATGGCATCATCTGTGGATTTCTTTGTAATTGGACTACTCAAACAGGCACTGAAAAATGGTCATCTTTGTACATTGGATGGCTTTGAATATCCAGACTTACGATGTAGTGAGTCTCTTGAAATACAAATAACATCACAGGCTATACTTGTCAAATAGAGCATGACCAGAAATGGTGACATAGAATGTAGTACTGTGGTGAGGCTCCATAGTCATTTCAATATAACATACTCAGCCTCTGTACTCTTTGAAAAATTTACACTGCTTACAACATTCAGTTTCATGAATATATATATCAGCTTAGCCCTAACCCTTTTAAACATGCTTTAAGGAAAAAAATTCCTAAATTATCACTTGAATATATGCAGTTGAAAATCTTTTATCCTTCACATATTAATAGGCATTATGCATATAGTTTTTAAGAAGAGACTCCTTTAAGTTTAGCCATCCAGTGATTTAAATGAATTTTTCAGTACACCAATTTTGTTTTTGCATTGATTCTCGTTATTGTCATAGATCAGATAGTAGTTTTGTATAACACTACTGATGTTGTGTATTTCTTATTCAGGTGTTATTATTTTTACTCTTTTTCTCAAACTAATGCACACAGTGTCTTTAACATCCACAGCACCCTCTACTGGACAGACTGGGGAAGTGAACCTAGAATTGAAAGAGCATTCACTGATGGAAGTGGTCGTCAAGCCATTGTCACAACTGCCCTTTTTTGGCCTAATGGTCTTGCAATTGACTATCCTATAAAGCGTCTTTTTTGGACTGATGCTAAACATCGAGTGATTGAGAGTGCTAATCTGGATGGATCAGATCGTAAACAGATTGTTAAGCAGGGTTAGAAGTTTCCTTAATAAAATACTTTCCAATATCACAAATATAAATATTTATTTTAAACCCAGTTAGAGACTACATTATTCTAGAAGAACTTGTTTGTGGTGTTTGGTGAGTAGCTATATTTTGGTTATATTGCAAAAATACTTAATTTTTGCAGCTTAACAAAATGTGTTGCATTATGTAAAAATGACTATAGGATCATGTTAAACAGTTAAAGAAAAGCTGTGGAAAGAAAAAAATGGTAAAAGGATGGAGTGTCAATACTAAGACTTTAAAAACATGCCATTTGAAGTTAAGTTTTTAAAGAATGATTTTTAATTATTCATTCATTTATGAAAGTGATCTGTTTTGTTTGATTTACATAAACTCTTCAATTTTTGCCACTTGGTATTCTTTTGTGATTGATTTAAGTGATTTATAAAACACTTATTATATGCAAACAGTAATTGTTTATCAGCTTTCAAAAAGATCATCTATTTAGAAGTTATGTAAAAAAAAAAAAAAAAAGGAAGCATGATACTTTTAAGTGCCCTGCTGCTTATTGAGCTTTAACTTAGCTTTGGATAAGCATGTCAGTGTAACGTACAGAAAAACAAAATGGGTTTGTCAAATTTACAGTTAACCAAACACAGGAAAATGGAATAAGTAAAGCTTTTGGCTTTTGATGTTATTTAAAAAATAGAAAAGGTAGAATACCTCACATAGAAGGAATAAAAACTCTTCTGTTGTAAATATATTATTCTGTGAATTTGTGTTAGTAATATTTGTTATTCATGTTGTGTTGAAGGTTTGCAACATCCTTATGCCATCAGTGTGTTTGAAGACTATATTTATTGGACAGACTGGCGTACCAAAAGTATTCATAAAGCCAATAAGTTTACTGGACAGAAGAAGACCACTGTCTTGTCCAACTTGAACTTTCCCATGGAGCTTACAGTTGTCCACCCACTTAGACAACCAAATGGTAGTTACCTGTACTAAAAGCTATTTAGTGGTTGTATTGTGTTTGTAAAGACTGATTTTAATAATTATTCTTTAGAAACTAACCTGTTCATGCATTCTTCCAACTATGTGGTAAAATCTTCAGATATTTCTCTGTCCTTGTTCATTCACCTGTAAGTCATATTTTTTCTGCGTGTCTGACATTCAAGTTATTTCCAAGCATTATTAGTCTCAAAGTGGGTTCCTTGTTATCGAATTTGAGTCTGACAATTTGTTTTTAATAGTTATATTCATAAGAAATATGCAGAAATTAATTCAATTGCTGGAGGGGATAAAAAAAAAGAATCAAGTGATTAGCATTTCAGCCATATAACTTTCATTGATCCTGATTATTTTAAAAAAAAATTTTCTTCAAAACTATTGGTAATTAGAAGGTATTGATTTGATTAGATTATCTTGCTTTAACTGTTCTGTTTTTTATAGATGTTATGATAACTCTGCTAAGTTTCAGTTTTACTAATTAACTACCTTTTACAATGCTAGCTGAACTACTCTTAAATTATTAATAAAAATTTGGAATTCTTTATCATTTTATATTGTATTAATGTTTTTCATCCTGTTTGTTATGTCTTTGTGTATAAACATGTCCCATGGGAAAGTAAACTAAGAGTATGGAATGTTAAAGTTGGTTTGATTTTAAGCTACAATTTATTTTCAGTAAATCTTAATGTATAAATCTTTATGAAAATATAAATAAACTTGATTTATATTGGTAAACAGAGTGACTGAGAAATGTTGAATTGCCATATTTTTGTTTCAGCAACTAATCCTTGTGGTGAGAACAATGGTAGATGTAGCCATCTCTGCCTTGGTAACAATAAAAGCTACAGTTGTGCTTGTCCAACTGGAATATCCTTGAAGAAAAATGGTCAGACATGTAAAAAAGGTAACCAAGTTAGCTTGATAACAAACAGCAATTCTTCAATATGCATCTTTCTGAAAATTTGTTTCTTCTATCAACCAAGTTTAGCTTGATAACAAACAGCAATTCTTCAATATGCATCTTTCATACCTTTTTTACATGTCTGACCATGAAAATTTGTTTCTTCTATCAATGGTCAGACATGTAAAGAAGGTAAGAAAGATACGTATTGAAGAATTGCTGTTTGTTATCAAGCTAAATTTGGTCAATAGAAGAAACAAACTTCCATTGTCTTGAAATAATTTCGTATCAAACGTTTCCAAACTTAATATGTGAGAACATTTCCCCATCATTTATATTTGTATAGAAAGATATGTCAAAGATGTGTTTGTTCCAACATCAGTGATCATAATATAATGCTGTACCAGTATAGAACAGTAAATATTCAGTCACATATAGCTTCAGTAAAGTGTAATTCATTTAAAGTAGAAGAAGACATTATTTGTTAAGGAATACGAAGATATGTTTGACAATATTAGAATGTTTTAGTTTATTGAGAAAGGTGAATTGTCAGCAACTTTAAGGAGTTAAATGGTGTTTAACACTCAAATCTCGAAATATTCTGTATTGTGAAAAATTCCTGGAGATCTAAATATTTCATACTTCAAGAATGTTTAATCCTGATGTTTCAATATTGTTCTAAAATTGTTTTCACCAATTAACTGTTATTGTGAGAATGCCTTTTATTATGCTGACAAATCATGATTATAATTAAATATACTTGTATTAAGATATTAGTATTAGGCCTATTATTGTTTTTCTAAATATTATATTCCTTATTCATTCCCTTAGGTGGACATAGTGATGTTGAAAAAGCCTTAGGGGACTGAGAAAGGAATATAGTGTTAAATAGATATAATAGGCTTAATAAAGTATATCTAAAAATGTTTTCAATGTTATTAGACACCTTACACAAACCAAATTTAAAATACCTTGACATCATTGTGTAAAACTAAAGACTGATAATTTTACCGTAAAAAACAACAAAAAAAAACGAATTTAAGTCAGTTAGATATAATTTGTTTATCTTGTTCAAGCTAACATATTGTTATTATATAGGAAATTGTTATTAAGAAAAACTTTATGTATAAACAGAATTTTGTACTTTTCTTTTACTAATTCTACATATTGAATTTCATTGCAGAAATTGATTCGTTTCTCCTATTTACAAGAAGGAATGATATTCGATGGCTTTGCTTGGAGTGTTATGATCAGTTAGATGTACCAATTCCACTGCAGAACATAAGCAGTGCAGTTGCTTTAGACTGGGACAGTGACACAAACACCATATACTGGACAGACGTAACCAGTGACACAATTAATAAAGCTAACTGGAATGGCAGTGATCAAAAGGTAAGCATCCATCTAAAATATTGTGGTTTAGTCATTGGTTTTTACACCTTCATAAGTTTTTTACATAAACAGATGAATGTCTTTTGTGAGAATATGAAACTTAAAATCTGAAGTTCAGTATTAACAGCACAGCATTGAAACAGTTATTTTCTGTTATGTACAAAACTGAATTTCGGCATCAAACAAAAGGCGTAGTTTATTCTTGGATTCACCACTTGTTACTGAGTTAAGTTGATTTCAGGGAATTCCACCCCTTACCTGTAACCATGACCAACAGCAAATCAAAGAACAAGACCTATATAATTACAGGTTGCTTGTGGTGAATAAATGACAACACATCATTCATATAAATGCCACAGAAACATTCTATGCTATCAAAGTTACAGAGCTGAAAGAAGTTGTTAGTTCTTTGGATAGCAATAATGTAATAAAATTATGGCTTATGTTATATTTACTTCTCAATCAGCAGGGACATATATAAAAGGACTTTTGCTGGAAAAACAAAATGCAGAAGAATCGTTACTCTAAACACGAGAATTTTTTTGAAGTGGGACCAGTTTCTCTTAAACCAGTGTCAGTATCAGCCAGTTCATGTCACATTAACAGAATAAGGACCAGTTTCTCTTAAACCAGTGTCAGTATCAGCCAGTTCATGTCACATTAACAGAATAAGGACCAGTTTCTCTTAAACCAGTGTCAGTATCAGCTAGTTCATGTCACATTAACAGAATAAGGACTAGTTTCTCTCAAACCAGTGCCAGTATCAGCCAGTTCATGTCACATTAACAGAATAACTTTATTTGTGTATTCGGGAAACTTATTTAGTGGTTTGCCAATAAAATTTACCAATGTGGTACAAGCAAAAACCAAAACGAAAATTTAAAGATGAGATTAAAATAATATAGATATTAAAAAATATGAATGATGAAATTATCTTGTTTGAGTTGTTGCCATCCAACTTTTGATTTTACATAAAGAAAATAATTGCACCAAGTAAACATACATATCAGTTATGTTAATAGAAGAAACCCCCCAAGGCCTGATAAAGTAAAGAATGTGCAACTAGAAAAAATTTCAATTTTCAGTAAAGAAAATAATTGCACCAAGTAAACATACATATCAGTTATGTTAATAGAAGAAACCCCCTAAGGCCTGATAAATTAAAGAATGTGCAACTAGAAAAAATTTCAATAAAAGTTTATTGGAAGGTTTTTGTTTATTTTTTTTTAGTTTAATTTAGATTTCACTTTTAAAGCTATGTTCAAACAATTATATGGACTTATACATGGTGCTTTAGCTGTAATTACTATTCATATTCTGAAATCATAAAAAAAAATATAATTTCAAGTAGTTACAAGATTGTGACAAATTGAACAAATCAAATTCAGCATATCTAAAAAAATAATAACGTGGACTTTTTTCACTCTCTTCTCTTCTGAACAAGATCAAGCAATCATAAATTTAAGACAAATTTTATATAATGAGTTTTCAGTTTTTCATTTGTGATCGTAATTTCATCACAAGTGTGCATAATAATCTATACTAAAATCATGTATTACTTAAACTGTTTGTTTTCACCTACAACCTTGTGAAGTTTGTGATGGGTAAGCATGCTTTCTAGTTTCTATCTACAACCATGGTATAGTATTTTATGGTTAAGTGTGCCCTCTCCTATCTACCTACAAACATGGTGAAGTTTGTAATGGGTAAACGTGCCGTCTTGTATCTACCTACAACCTTGGTGGAGTTTGTGATGGGTAAGCGTGCTTTCTAGTTTCTATCTACAACCATGGTATAGTATTTTATGGTTAAGTGTGCTTTCTCCTATCTACCTACAAACATGGTGAAGTTTGTAATGGGTAAACGTGCCGTCTTGTATCTACCTACAAACATGGTGAAGTTTGTAATGGGTAAACGTGCCGTCTTGTATCTACCTACAACCTTGGTGGAGTTTGTAATGGGCAAGCGTATCTTCTTGTATCTACCTACAACCTTAGTGGAGTTTGTAATGGGTAAACGTGCCATCTTGTATCTACCTACAACCTTGGTGGAATTTGTAATGGGTAAGCATATCTTCATGTATCTACCTACAACCTTAGTGGAGTTTGTAATGGGTAAACGTGCCATCTTGTATCTACCTACAACCTTGGTGGAATTTGTAATGGGTAAGCTTATCTTCTTGTATCTACCTACAACCTTAGTGGAGTTTGTGATTTGTAAGCTTGCTTCCTCATACCTACCTAAGCACTTTCTTCTCATGTTCAAGAATATACTTGACTAAAAGGTTGGTTATTTTTGTCACACAACTGCCATCTGTCTATTTTTATATGCTGGACTTTTATGGATAATTGCTTCCGTGGTTGTAGAACATTCTCTATTAGAAGTTGAGCTGTATTTTTTATGTTTTGCTTGTTTTATTAACTAATTAATTACTCACATGCTAATAAAATGGAGAATATTTGTTTCAGGTGGTCATTGATAGTAACCTTGAGAGACCAGCTGGTCTTGCTGTGGACTGGGTTAGTCAAAACCTGTACTGGACAGACTCTGGTACTGACCGTATTGAAGTGTCTAACCTAGATGGAACCATGAGGACAATTTTGGTATGGGAAGGTCTAGACAGGCCTCGAGATATCATTGTGGATCCCATAGGAGGGTGGGTAGTGCTTAGATTAGATGTTCTATACCTCTCATTGTGCAAATTTACTGAAATTTTCCATAAGCAATGAAACAGAGTAAAGGTTTTCCAAGGAACTGTAGTAATTAAATATATCTAGTATAAAATGAACTGAAAAAGACCCATGTTTAGTTAGAGAATTACTAATCATTGTATACTAAATACTTAATCAATAATTTTTTGCAGTAAATCACTTATCCTTAAGTAAGTTTTGTATTTTAATGTCAGAACTATGTTTTTATAAAATACCTTATCACCTGGAGATCTCAAGATTAACACATTAAGTGGTAATGACTTGTTAACATGTCAATCATTTCTATTAGTCAGGTGCTACACATCAATCAACAAAGGGGCTATAACTTTGTGGTGGTCAACATAAGCAGACAAGTTTTCAGTAGGCATACTGCAATTAGAAATAATGGGACAACCAGGATTGCTGGGTTGTAAAAGTGACCTGGATGAGTTTAGGTGAAAGGAACTCTCAAGTTTCACGACTTATGTGTTGGATTTTCTGTAAACTACATAGCATATCTTAGATAATTTGAACAAATTGTGGTGTGGGGTCCAAATCTACCTTTTTATAGTGGTTTGTGTCATTAACTTGTTGATAAGCTTCATTGATAGTCGGTTTTATCTTGAATGACAATGGCACTGTCCTTATCAGCTTGTTTAATAATAATAATAATTTCATTTTTGTGTTTCATTGCAATTAGAGCAGAATGTTCACTATAGGAGAGATCGTTTTGTACTTTTGAGTCAGAGTTAATAGCTTGAATTACTTCATTTTCAATTGCAGTAATAAAACTCTAGATGTGATTCCCTGTTAGCTGGGGGTGTCAAGAAAGATTTTTTTTAAACTGTGAGTCAATTATTTCTTTCAGTGGTTTGGTTGTTAAAAAATTCTTGAATTCTTAATCTGCATACAAATTCTTGGAGGTTGGAAAAGACTTAAAAACTATCTATATTTTCAGGGGTAAGAGAAAAATTAAGACCTTTACTGAGAAGTTAGTGTTGAGCTTTGGTTAATGTTTTAGAGGACAGATTGAAGATATTGAAAGTGTTCTTGGATTTGTGTCGATCAGATGGAGAAGTGACTATGTTAGTGGAATCAGAAGTAGGATCTATTTTAGGAGTGAACTCAATGTACGTGTTTACATTGTTGGAGTTATTAACCAGTGACTTACATATGGCACTTGTATGGATTTGCTTAAAGTTAATATTTTGTTCTAAACAGAAATTGTGGCTTGGATGGGAGAAACCTTTTTCCTTGTATGAAAGATCATGATGTAGTTTTTGTTGTTGCTTTTCACGTTATTTTCCAAAGTCTTTATTGTTTTGTTAATAAATGCATCAAGTTTTTTCAGTGGAATATATCGTGTTCTTGGAATTTGTAGCAGCAATTTTTCTTTTCCAGGTTGTCAAATGTGGATTTGCAGAAGTCTTGAGTGAGTTTTGTAAGTGTAAGTGAGGTGGAATGAAGAATTTTCTTCCATTGTGAACAAAACAATTTGTCATTAGCTCCTATTGTAGCTGGTGGATTTAAATTAAGGGATTTAGGTACAGTTTGATTCTGTAATTGTTATCCCAGTATATCAGTATATTCAGTTTTCTGAGTAGTCTGAAAGTCTTACTAGAGTTTAGATCAGAGTGCATTTGGGCAGTTGTGCTGAAGGAAGTGTTTATTTCAAGATTATTACATGGTTTTGCTTTGTGACAGAGAGAAGGTTCAGGGTATGTTAGGTTTAGAAGGTCGTCAAGTTTAGGACTTTGTGAAAAGTGGTGGTAAATTATTGATGGACTTTAATAGGAAATTTGATGAAAGTGAATATAGAAAAATTTAGTAATAGATCAACAGATTTTGTTATCTCAAGAAGTCTGTATAAACCTGAAAACAAATCCTATCAAAAGCTTGTGCTTATTATACTAATCTCAGTCTAATTCCAGTTTTAATGATGTACTGAGAAAATATATAACATGTAAAATAAGGTGTGTGTGTGTGTGTGTATTTAAAAAAAAAGCTAACAAAAACAGTCTACTACTTATAAAGATTACATCACAGTTATGTTAGAATTGCCAATGAAGTGAAAGAGCCTGAACAACAGCCTCTTTCCCACAGATGATATTGTAAAGCAATTTTTCAGACAACAAAGCTAAAAACAAAGTGTTAGAGAAAACTGGTGTGTCAACTGCAATGTGGAAATGATGAAAAGCTTTGTAGTAACAGAATTATTTGCAGAAATACAACCCACATAGTTGACTTATGCAGTATCAGCTTGAACCTCTATTCTCAGTCTTCATCTGTGAAAACACTCGTATACATGCATGACTGTTCAAGGTAAATATAATGGAAACAAAAGATTCTCATGAATTCAGCTTTATTACAAATATCATATTGAAACTTTATACTACTAGTAACCAATTTTATGGCAGGTCACACTTCAGATATAATCGTTCTAATGTTAAAACCTGTTAGTTTACAGTTACTTATCAGGCTGTAGTTTTAGAATATATACCAGAAGAGTAAGAGACAAATTTGCTTAAAGAAACCAGTTTCTAGTAGTATAATATTTCATAAAGTTGAATTCATACCATGGGTCTAGAAAAAGTATGAGAATATCTAATTTTGCTTTTCTGGGCCTGGAAAAGCCTTTGAATTTCATTTCAGTGATGTAAAACTGGGAAGAATCAAAGTAATAGAATAAGAATCATGGTAGCTACGAATGAATAAGGGAAAGGTTTATTGGTATTTCACCCACCCTCATGAAATCTTTAGTAGATGTCATTGGTGAATAATCTCATAGAAAATTGGTTTGTCTTTAAAAAAATAAACCTTGTTTTGAATAGTTATGTTGAAACAAAAACAGCTAACTTGGAATTGTTTTTCAACTTCTGGTCTGATTCAAGTGAATTACTTAGTTGGTGTGTGTTAATAAATTTAATGTTTTTTTTTTTCCCTTAAAGCCAATACTGGGTTTAGTTGAATATTTGCTCTCATTTTTACTCATATTTTATTATGATGTATATAAAATGCTTTTGTATAACTTTTTCTTCTCTCGCTTTATGCAAGAACAAGTATAAATTTAAAAAAAAGAAAAGAAATGTATTAAGAGCCTGCAAGCACCATTCGTAGTGTTGGATAGACACCTATCAAAAGTAGGTAATAATTGACAATTGTCCTCAACATCTAAGTATCAAATAGACCATCCACCATCAGACTAGATCCTGTGAACCTTGGTCTCATTCATATTAAGACCTTGTCAGTAATTAATTAATGTCTGGGAAAGTACTACTGTGCATTTTATAGATTTTATAAAGACTCTATGAACAGAATTAACTCACTTTCTGTCTGTTATTTGCAATCATGTTGGTTAACGCACACGCTTCATAGTACCTTTTAATACATAATTTATGATGGTTTCATAAAAGTATGAAACAGAAATCTTTGCAAGCCTTCAGGAGTAGCAAACTAAATTAATTATTTAAAATTTTAAATAAAGAGTTAAACTATATGCTTAACAACAGGCTGACAAAAAAACAACAACTGATAGTTGTGCATGAAATGTTTAATTTCTTGCTGACTGGTAAGCTAAAAAGGTCCTTGTAAACTACTTAGTGGTCTTGTAATCCCAAAAGTATGGAAACTATGTACAAGAACATTGTTTCCATTTAATCATACACTTTGGAGGGAATTAAAATTCCTTTTTATCTTTATCTGTATGTCAATCCTTCCATCAACCTATATACATAAATATTAAGAACAGATATTGATGCTCAAATCTTTAACATCCTACATCTAAAACAACAATTCATCATCTACAGCCAGTTTCACTCAATTACGGTATCTTTGTGTTAATCTGAACTTGTTGTGTAATCTGTATTTGGGTTTTGAGATTAAGAAATATTGGAGTCAAATTATTACATGTTTTGCATATCAGAGGGCAACTAAAATCAAAAGTTTTGTGACATATTTTAGCTCTTATCTTGAATATGTTAAGTTTTGAATATACATATGTGTGTATGTTACAATATATTGACTGTTTAGCATACTTTATTGAGTTCCATCTTTAATATATATAGTGCCTTAGAATAATAAGTGATCAGTCTTGTCATATATTTAACATTGATTATATCAATCTGCAATACAACACAAGCACAAAACTGAGCAGAAACGGACCCATAAGTAACTGGTAGCTTCAACTTTTCCATGTGAGAAAGGGTTCATCTTCAGCTGAATTATGTATGTCACGGACAGGAAAGTATTGTGGGTATTTCAGACAGTACCACTGGTTTTAGAGATTCTCATATTCACGTGCAAAGCACTGTACCAATTAAGAGTCGTTTAATGTAAAGTTTTTCCTCTTGAAAGGATTTTAAATGAATTGTAATGTATTGCTACATCACATTCACTGATCACACAGTTATGTATAATTGATATGCTAGTAATCATCAAATTTGCAAGTTTTTTTTATGTATGTTTCTAACCATCTGGTGGTTGATCCAATATACCAGTAAGAGAACATGTAAATATAATCATGTACTCAATGAATGTGATGTGTTGCTATACATCACAGTCTGTTTAAAATTGTTCTGGGAACCATTTTCCTTATACATCACAGGTTATGAAAACCATGCAGGTAGATGTGGTTTGCTTTGGACATGACAGCTTTATGACAAAGCCTTTTTTAATTTAAAATATGCAGCATGGTTATTGTCAAGTTGCATGTTCATCAGATAGAGCATTTCTGGACATGCAACATGGACTGTACCAATGTAATGAGGCTACAAAATTGTATTAATATAACATACTCAACCTCTGTACATATTGCTTCTGAAGATGTTTCTATAATATTATATATTATTTCAGCTTATTTATGTTACAAAATTGTTCAACTTTTCAAACAGTTACTGGTCACTTTTGTTTTATTGCATATTCAATTGTTTTTGTAAATGAAGTTGCATCCTAAATTTTTTGTTGTTGTTGTTCCTTATGCATTATTAAACCAAAAATATTTTAGTGTAGTAATGTAAAGTTATTATGAAAAATTCTTCAGTCACAGTGTTGTATTTAAAGTGTGTGTGCTAAGTTGTTACTTCCATCCACAGCCTTCAATGCCACTAGATTCATATGAATAGAAGAAAAGAAAAAAAACAACTGACTGATATTGTATGAAGTTGGCTTCTGACTTTTCATTCTATGTTTATTCTTGCTTTATGTCAGAATCACATGATACTGGTTAAATATCTTTGTTAATGAATTCCAGATCAGATTGCCAGCCATCTCAATTTGGCAATTTCTTTGAAGTTTTAAAAAACCTACATTTTGTTTGTCCCAAATTTGAAGATAAAGTTCTTATGCCATATTTCATTGTAAGTAATGGAGAACTTGTATTGCTCTGTTGGCTTGGGATTGAAAAAGATTAAGTACTGTCAATACCAACTTTGGTTTTATTGTTATTAATGGCCTTTAGAGAATATCCGTCTCCCCTAATCAATCAAGTTAAGTAGCTAAACAGTTTGCCAGTCTTAAGAAGCTACTGTTATTTATCATTATTTGATTCAACTTTGATATAACCCATCGCTGTAGTATAGATTTTTCACAAAATGTAGAAATATATAGGAACATTAATTTTCTAAAGAATGATCTTTTGTATTTCAGAAAATAGATTGGAAAGTTGCTTCTAAATTGTGTACTTATAGTTTATAGTGCAGACTTTAGATGGATCACTTGTTCTTTTTAACTTAAGTATTGGGTGAATTCAGACCTAATTACTTGTATATAGCATATATCTTAGTAATTATTATTGTAAATGACAAATTTGAGCTTATTATCTCCAATTTATTAGTTACATGTACTGGACTGACTGGGGGATTAACCCAAAGATTGAGAGAGCTGGAATGGATGGTTCTCAACGAGTAATTATAGTGGAACACAATCTAACCTGGCCAAATGGTTTAGCTATTGATTATGAAAAAGAAAAACTGTACTGGGCAGATGCTGGTATGAAAACTATTGAACTGAGTGGACTCGATGGCCGAAATCGTAAGGTAATTGAATTTATTTGTTAATTACAGTTAATTATACAATTCTTAATGAGCATATATTCTAATTTAAGTATTGCTCAAACTGAAATTATAAAAATAACCATTTGAAAGTGAGATTTAAAGTAATATTCTGTTATCAGAAGTAATTATTATTAATCAATTTTGAGTTGTTAAGTTATCTCCAGTGAAGGTTGAGAATAGTGTTTGACCAATAAGAGTGCAAGTTACACTAAGATTTTTATTAATAAAATTATTTAATTCAGAAAAATAATCAGCTATAGTACTTTTTTGCTACTGAAAATAGTTTATCCAAACCTTGTAGCAATTAAAAATTGTTAGTTGTCAGTAAAGGGTTGCTTGTGGATATTGGCAAAGGTCATAGTCTGTAATGAAAAGTTCATAACTGATAACTTGACCATGTGGTAGAGCTCTGAATTTTGAAGTCATGGAATTAAGTTTAATTTTTGTGTGGTATCACAATATATTCACTGCTTTTTAAGCTGTGGGTGCATTACAAGAGTGACAGATAATCCTTTAGAGTGGAGTTTTGGTAGGAGGGTGTTACTAACTGGCTGTTATCTCTCTGAGCAGTAGTTCAAAATTAGGAATGTTGACAGGTAGCCTTAGCAGCTTTGATATAAATATAAAATAGATAGAGCTTGTTTTGTATGTTAGCCCTCAATATATACTAATTCAAGTACTATTAAACATATTTAGAGAGTCTGTTAATTTTAGTAACAAGGTTTTAATCTTAGTACTATCTAATGTTTGTTTTATGGTTATATAGAATTTACCATATTTTTTCTTAGTACACAAGAATAAGAAATTCATTTAATAAGTGTTTTATTCTTTACTAAAGTTTCTCTGTCTTGTTTACTTATTAGGTATTGATTGCTAGTGATTTGCCACATCCTTTTGGTCTTGCTTTATTTGAAGATCTGGTGTACTGGACTGATTGGGAAAAATTTAGCATACAGAGTGCCAATAAAAAAACTGGTAAAGATAGAGCTATTGTCTTAGCTGGATTGGAAAACCTGATGGATATCCATGTATTCCATCGAAAACGTCAACCTGGTACTTGTATTGTTCAGGCTAAATAGTACTCAGTTTATTATTTTCATTAAGCATTTCATTTTAAGCTGCTAAAGGTACAAGAATAAATAGAAAATTTTGTAATCTTTTTTTGTAAACTAGATTTTATACTTTATAAATGATTTGTGTAAAAATCTAGTCTCTGTGATAGTAGATGTACTGTTTCAGTTTCCATGGTTGAGAAGTGATTGTATAAAGAAAATACAAAAGTTAATACTTGTGTTCATTAATAAATTAAATAAGTTGTGGTATCTTGTTTAAACTTTGATAATGTGTGAGAATAAGTAGGAGAGAACTTGTATTTCTTTGTGTAGTACTCTAGTTAAATACTTATCTTTATCTTAGTTGATTTTAAATGTTTATAATTATTTCAGTTTTAAGTTAATAATAATCTCTGCTTTATAAACCTTATTATGGAAACAAATTTTTATAATTTTAGATAAAGACACTATACATACTGAAAACTGTTTTGTTTTCACCATTTTCATTTGAACAATTCTCCCTTTTACTTTCAGTACCACACCCATGTCGATCACACAATGGTGGCTGTAGTCATCTTTGTCTTCTTGCTCCATTGCCTGATGGTTATACATGTGCATGTCCAACTGGTATTGTTTTACAGGATGATAAAAGAACATGTGCCACAGGTATGGACCACTGATTGTTTGTAAATACATTTTTGTTGAAACTTTGCAGACTTCTTATACTACTAATGTAAAGTATTGCTTTCAAACCTTGGTATGAATGAGGTTCTTAAATTATGTGTGTATTTATTATTAATGCTGGTCTCCATTCCACCATTAATATTTCCAGCTAGCAATTAATATAAATATATATATATGGTGTATTATAAAAATTCACCAAAAAATAGAAGGAGCAGATTTTTGTCGTCAAGATTTTCAAAATCTTGTATATAAATTCAGTAATTATTTTTTCTTCTACTATAATTTAAAGTAAAGAAGAAAAACAAGATTTTGTGTTATACACTTGTATTTTACATTCAGATATCTTATACATCATATTCTTTATTGTATTTTACTAACATGAATAGGGAAATTACGGTATTATTGCATGTTTGTCCTTACCGTCATGTAGGTTTTACAATTTTAAAGAAAAATTGTTTTTCATAATGACCATTGTGTAAGTAAAACACATACATTTTCTTTTAAGATTATGTAAGGGCTGATAAGAAAATGTGATTACAATAGATTTTCTTTCTTTTCTTTTTGTATGTATGTATGTTTATAGATATGCAGAATTTCTTGATTATTGCTCGCAGAACAGACATTCGGAAAATCTCCTTAGATGTTCCATATTTAGCTGATGTTGTGCTTCCAGTTAATGGGCTAAAAAATGTTGTGTCTTTAGATGTGGATAAAAAAGATGGTAAGACTCATTTAAAAAAATATTTGTACACATTTCCTTAATAGTAAAAGTGAAGAATGGAAAGAATTTTTTCTAATTAAAAAAAATTCCATAATCCCACTGTTTAATAGATCTAACCACATAGTAGGATTTTGTCAGCCATCCCAGTAGGTTAATTAGCTATAATAGTTTACAGTTCAAGTTAATGCCCTTCTGGTTCCCACTAGGACCTACAGGTGTGTGGTTGTCTACTCGTTCTCAAAAGGACTTATTGATCTCTTCTAAATTCTGACATGTTTTTTTAGTTAAGTATTTTTAATTAAGATTTGTCTATGAATTTTGGAATCAGAATCTGACTGAGATTCTGATTAATCTGAGTGCAATGTGATTTTTATGTTAAGAATAAAAATACCTTTTTTTTTCATTTTAGTTTCAGATTTCATTTTCATAACCTGTAGAAGCTCCTAAATGAATATTGAAAAAGAAATGTCTTTGTAAAAAAAAAAACTTGGTCCATTTGACCAACCTTGTAACCACCACAAAAATATATAGAATCTAAATTAACCTTTTTGCTTCTTTCTGAAATGACTGAGTATTGTTACAGGCAATACACACTATTTATTCTTACAGCCAAAGCTAATACAGTGCAAATCTTCTGGTCATTTAAATTTATTGCTACTTAGATTTCTTCCAAAGTGATTTATAACAGTGGAGAAGTATTGAGTTACCAGCACACTCAATTAAACTACAACAAGCTGTGCTTGTGCTATTGTTGTTGTTTTTTATTTAATTTTCCTTACCTAACAAGTTTTTAATTTTTAAATTTTAGTTACTTTTATAACAATATATATAAAAAATGTACATAGAAAATAAAAATTTAATACTTGTACTATTTGCTTTCAGTCTCGGTAAAAGTTAGTACTATTTTTTGTGGGGGTTTTGTTAGTACTGTACTTAATTTTAAGTACACAACTTAGGACACAAAATATTAATATGCAACAATATAACTATGTTCTAAAACTTATAATTTAACTGGCTTTCTATCTAAACTATATGTGTGCTAAAATAATTTCCTTTTCTTTGTTGAGGCAATCTCAGCAATAGCAAATTATGAAGTTGATGCAGAATAACTCAAAACCGATCATGAGAATTGAGCTAACATCATAAGGAAAGCAATAAATTAACATCTTCTTTTTCAATTCGTTATAAATAATCCAACAACAAATAACAGATAATTATTCACATTTTTTTAAAAGACAGCATGGCTAAGAGAGGTGTGACATGCGAGTTTCTATTTATGGCATGTAACTCATTAAGACAAGAAGAATAAATGCTATAAGTTTTCATTTTAGCTTAATATTAATATAAATCATAAACTATGTTTGATGCCTAGTTTATTGAGTTGCATTTATAACTAGTTTAAATTTTGAATATTACTCTGCAAGAAATGTTGTGACATGCACACTTTGACCTACCTGTATCCAGAAGGCTAAGTCATTGCATTTTCTCACACTATTGAACTCTTCAATGAAACTTATTGCTACATAGAAAAAAAAGAAAAGTATTTTTTTTGTGTAACTTTTTTCATATACTGAGTTTTAAAATACTAACAACACATTAGCATGGACAATAAATACACGGAACCAATCTACTGTTCACACATTTGTAAAAGAAAAGAAAAAGATTTTCATTAAATATGTACAATAATAATTTATTTACTATGAGAAGTTTACACACAGTTATCAACCTTGAACTCGTATTTTCTATGAAAGATTTTTGTTTTTCTTTTCATTTATTTATTAATATACAGTTTTTTCAGATAAATAGTTCTTTTAAAAATTCTTCTCTTTGATATTTTCTTACCAAAAAAAAAAAAAAAATTACATTTTGAGGAAAAACCTACAGACTTCAGTGAAGTATAAAATTTTCTTTGGTTATCAAAGGAAAAGCAAATAATTCAGCTTACAAACCTATGAAGAAACCTCTCCTGACCAGAATCAATAAGAAATTACAGAAGAGAGATGTTTCTGATGAATTATCATTCATTTATCGAAAGTGTACTTTTATAGATAATAAATAATAACTTGGAGACATAATAAGTTTAAACAACAAACATAACATGTACATTAACAATAATAGTTTGATTTTTTACAGTACAGTAAAACAGCAGATCTGGTGTTATACAAAAACTTAACGTTCATTTTTGAATTTTTGTCACTTAACATATGTTTGTATTACACAGGATAATTTGCTATTAATTCATTTGAATAACTTGTCACCTTTCCCACAACCATTTTCTGTTTGTTCAGTATCTTCCACTCTTTCTCTAGTGGCACTGCTTAATAAATAATTATATTTCATATTTATCTTTCTTTAAAATTATATTTAAACAATTTACATTGCTTTAAGTTGCCTATATTTTGTCATATGTTAACTAAAAACAATTATTAATATACATATGTTTATCAAATAGCAAAATTTCTAGAATTGTTTTGAAGATGTAAAACAGTATTCATCTTTTGCAGTTACATGTAGTAAACCTATCTATTACAGGCTAATCTATTTGTAGTAAATATAGTTAGCTCTGATCGTTTTTCATAAATTTTAGTTATGAATTCTGTTTCGTTTGTCAAAAAATACTCTGAAAGTCTAAGAGTGAATATATCTTCAAAAGGGAAATTTTTACTGAATGTAATTCATATGTGTTGTTCCAAGATTTGTACTTGACTACACAAACTTGCATCATATCCACCAACACTCAGACAATGAACAGTAACATGTAATTGATAATGCATTTATCAATATAAAATATTTCCTATCTTCTTGTTTTGAAATTATCACAAACCTTTTTTTTCTTAATCTCCTTTTAAATACAATGAAGAAGAGATAGTATGCTAATTACACATCCACACAGGAACACACTCAAGAATAGTTAAAAATCTTAAGATCTAGGTATCTTATCAAAATCTATCAGTTGAACTAACTTTAGGAATTAAGATTTCTAAGGAAGTGAATCTGGATTGTTGCTGTTGATATTTTGTGTATATAGCATGCAGATTATTTTAGTTGCAAAGTGGTATTGGAATGTTTTTATTACAAATTAGCTCTAAAACTATATTGTGAAGAGTGATCTTTGAAGCCATGAAACTAGTAGAAGTAAATAATGAAGGAAAAAAAAGAGGAGTATATGGATTGTACTATTTTATTATAAACCCCCACCCCCTACACACAAAAATAAATAAATAAAATTAAACTTGAAAATGAGTCTTGAAATTTTTGTTGTAGAGCTAAATATTTGGGTACCTCAACTAACCAATTTCATTTTTTATTTTTTAAAGTGTCTTAATTCTGTCTTTCTGGTTTCAAGATTTTATCTTAGTTTTTTATGCTTAATCTTTAGACTTGAATATTTTGTTTTAAGATCTTCATTGATTTTTAAATGGTACATAAACATGATCATCACTTCTCTCAGACCATTCATCTTTGCTTGTCATTTTTCATTTTAATAATGGTTTGGAATACTTTTCTTGCTGCTTTTGGCTTAAGATTTGTAGAAGACTCTTTTTCATCTTTCATTGACAGCATTAAAGCTACATGCACATTATTGCTGCTATATGTCTTACATTTAAACTATAGTGACCACTTGTAATACAACAATTACAAAAACAAGAGAGTTTGCTTGTAATTTATAATTTTCACACAAAGCTATGAAAAGACTGTCACTGCATAGCTGCCCCTAATTTTGAACTTTTAGACTAGAGGAAAGTCAGCTAGTCATTAATACACACTGCTATTATACTACTCTTATCTAATTAAATAGTATGTTTTGACCATCACTGTTATAGTGTGCTCATTAAGGTGGTCCATGCATAAATGGTAAAAATGAAAGCTACAAATGAGAGCTTCTGATGCATTTTTTAATTCCTTATATGGAGATAGACCTCAGACTGAATTTTGAATTAAATACATCAGTATTTAAGAGTGTCATAAATTTGAAGAAATTTGCCACAAGTTTACCTCTCCAGTTAATTTTCTTAATTACTTTTTGTTTATTGGTTGGCAAACAATGATACTGTTGCAGAATCTCATAATTTTGTTATATTATTTTGTACAGTATTGTATAATTGGGTCATGTACCATGTGGTTGTTAGATTTAAGAGGTAGTAATCCAATATCATGCCAGATGACATTACAGTTTTTCAGTTCTTGATTGGTTGTGGTCTTGTGGAATGATGTTTTCAGGAGAAACAGACTTTAGGCTTTGAATGACATTTACTTCTTGAATGGAGCTCCTATAGCGACAGCTGCACCCTTCAATGACCTCAGCATGATGTTAGTTATCTGCATTTCCAGATTGCTCAGTTGCCGATGCTGCAATGGCAGGCTTCAAACGGCACTTATGGCATTTATCAGAAGACTTAGTCAGTTTGGCTCTATTTGTTGACAAAGTTCAGATAACTACTAAACGTAAAATGGTGAAGAATCTCGATATTCCAGAGAAGAAAGAAAACATTCATTGAAAAATGTTCATTGACTAGAGGGGAAGAACTTTAATATCAAGGCTCCTTTGTAATCCTATATAACAAAGAGGACTTTTAACATATTCAGTGTCTTAACTTTAAACAGGAAAGAGAAAGCAAAGGCATTCCTGGAAAATAATCCAGAAGACTGAAAAGGGATTCCAGAATATGAAGTAATGCAGAAGGCAGCTGTTGGGTTGAAAGTTGTGAATGAATGTGCAGAGAGAGGTATTGCTCTGATTCAAGCATTTACCTATTCTATTGCTAAGGATGAAGATGACAAGCAATCCTTTCACCGCACACAGTTAAACTACATCAAAAGACATTTCCGGCCCCCAGAAAAGACAATTTGATGTCATAAGTGCTATGATGAATTGTTGTATTATTATTATTATTATAGTTATATGCCATTAAGATATGCAGGACACTATTAAAAATTTCATTCAGTTTGCTAGTGACTTTTGCAGCTTTATTTTTGTTACCAAATAAAAACCATAATATCTACCATATTTTTTGGTGTATAAGACGCACTTTTTTACCCTAAAATTTGATGTCAAAATCTGCTTGTGTCCCGTACATCGAAGGTATGAATAATATATATGTATATATATGATATACACAA